TTTAGTTCATCAAGTTAACCCAGACCACCTAGGCCAAAACCACTTTAGAAAAGTTCATTTCCCATATTGGTTCTTCCGGGAATCGAATCCGGAACCAAGAGCTACGGAATTCACTTGGCGGCACTACCCAGAACACCTAGGCCAAAACCACTTTAGAAAAGTACATTTCCGAAATTGGTTCTACCGGTAATGAAACCCTGGACTTTCTCATCCATGCAATATTATTTGCATGTATAATCTACAAATTGCTTAAACACGACAACAGTAGACGTGGCAGCAAGCGGCCGCGGGAGACGTCGAACTGCGCCAGGCGCACTTTATAATATGCATTATAATATAGAACATATTATCTACTGAATAAAGTATATATTGTTTCTATCAAAAGAGAAAAGCCGCGCTACGTCGGCGACGTAGGCGACGGTTGGGGGCGCAGCGCGACGTGGCGCTGCTTTTTGCTTTGCTTTCAAAGACATACCGACTTTGTTTAGTAAATACGAAATTCTATACTACATTGCATCTACCACGCAATATGCCTTTCAAAGAAATGTACCTTATTGTTGAGAAGCTAAGTTATACTTTGCATTGCTGAAGGCGGAACAAGTCGCCGACGGTTAACGACGTCGCCAACCGTAACCTACCGTAGGCGACGCAGCGCGGCTTTACTCTTTTGTTTTTTGTTGTTTGAAGAAATGTATACTTTATTTAGTGGAGAAAATGTTCTATAGTATATTGCATTTTATAAAGTGCGCCTACCGCAGCTCTCCGCAGCAGTTTCTTTAATGAAATGTTGCCTTATTTTGTAGGGGATAAAGTTAAAGTTGCATTGCTCGTTTTAACGTAGCGTCGCGTCGCGTTGCGTTGCGTCTCGGCGATATGAATCAAACATTATTGTCTTCGAGTTAACAACAGTACACTAATTGTATATAGAATTACAATAAAGAAAATACAAATAGAGTGAAACTAATTATAGTTATAGGTTTCTTATCACAATATGACTTTCTATTAGCGAAATTCCGTGAACATAGAGTAAGAAATAATTCTGAAATAACGGAGAACAATAAAATTTGATATTGGAAAAAAAATATAAGATGTGATAATATAATCTTTAACTAAATAACCACAAGTCTTAAATTCCATATTGACCACATTGTTGTTGCTTCTACCAATATATTATACCTTTGTTTCAACTTAGTGCATGTTGACATACTTCATGATCAGACCATAGGCCAAGTTGACCTAATTGTAGGGCAAAATTGTTGCATAATGCACATCTATTGCACTTTATTCTACTATTTATACAATATGTGTATGTACTTAATTAAACTATTTTTATGGTTTTTATCAACTTACAAGAGTAAAGTGCCGAAAACGCATCTAAAAACAATATAATTTTTCAATATCACAGCTAATACCAGAGATATTAATAGTAAAACTGGTGGTGAACAGTTTGTTCCTTTTTAGTAAAACCATAGTGTTTACCATATGGGATGAAGTTGATGTGATAGAGTTGTAGGTTTGTACAGGACATGTGTCTTTATATTTAGGAATTAATTTATGACATACATATTATATGTTATCTTACACTATCTTATCTTATTAAGGATATGACATCACAAACGACTAACGCCGTGCCTTTCTACCTTCCCAATTCTATATCCCTGTCAATATTTGTATTTTTCAATAAATTTAAATTATGTTCTCAAATCTCAAATAAAAAAATAAATCAGAACTGATAATAATAATGTGACAGGCAGCCACAATTACCTGGTTTGAGATCCCTATGCAATGAGTACCAGTAGACCTTTAGTAGCAGTAGAGCTCCTTGTGAAAGTGTTCGTCCAGAGACGTACTGCTACCTTACCTATTTCTGCCGCCAAACTGTAATATGAGCATTACTGTATGCCGGTTTTAAAGGGTAAGGGTGCTGGTGAAATTGCAGGCACAAGGGACTTGTGAACTTAAGTCTTAAGGGGACCGGTGCAGTGTTAGTTTAGTCGCAATCTCAGCTATTTAAAGCTCTGTGTGTTTTAAACACACAGACACACAGGTTCAAAACAACATTTCGGATTTTGCATTGTTTGAAAAACAAGTATACGCAATTTATGTAGGAAAAAATAGTGTCACGTCCTATGTGTAATAATTGCGAAACCCTAAAAACTCGAAAACATACTAAAGAACCAATTAAAAGACATTACATGTGTCAATACCTGAAAAAAAAAGGAAATGTAAAATCCAGTTTTACCTATTTAAGGGAGCGGGCATTATTGCATGACTATAACACAGAGTGTACAGTAACAAACTGAAAATCATCAAACTCAGTATTATGAGTAAATGTTACAGGCTTGCTGATAAGGGTTACTTCTGTCAAGTTCTGATTATGACTATGTATTATAATACATAGATAAATATTTGATAACATATTGGCATCAATTAATTATATATACATAAACAAATGAATAAAAACATACACAGCAATAAAAAATATTTAAACAAACTTATTAATTGTAATGTCAAATTATTATTTGTAATGTTTGTAGAAGTTCAAGTCACATTTGTGAAGAATATGTGAAGTGGAGCGATTGATTGTTTGCATTGAGTATATTTCCTTGTTTGTCTCCTTCTTAGCATAAAGTGACAACACCTGTAATGGGAGTGTACGATTGCCAAAGAGTACTGGTGTACTGTGATAAGAAAAAAACGTACTTAAAACAAAGCTAGTATGGTGACTGGCAGCAACAGCACTTCTAACATGACGACCTCTGTGGTCGAGTGGCTTGCACACCGGTTTTCAAGGTGTCGCCATGTCTGAGGTTCCGGGTTCGAGCCCCGACCAAGTCAGTGTAGAAAATCTGAGTTTTCTATATTGTCTCGGGTCTGGGTGTTCGTGGTGTCGTCGTTGTTTCCGATTTCCATAATACAAGAGCTTTAGACGTAGAAACTATTAAGTAAGTAATCTGGCTTTAGTTACTTTGGGATTGGAGCAACATAAACATATGTTAAATCCTTTTGTGGGATGTCCCGATGTTGTCTGACTAGTCAGAAATCAATCGCTCTGTCGCAGAATGTCCATTTCGCAAAATGTCTTCTGCACGCAAAAAGTCCATTTCTCAGAATGTCCCTTTCGCAAAATGCTATCGCTAAATAATTAAGTACTGTCTTCTCTATTATTTATTAATGGCTATCAATGAATTGTTAAGAGCGTATTAGATGGACACAAGCGTTACGGTATTAATGTAATAAAGTTATTATCAAAGTAAGGCTATAAATTACAGGCACATGGGACTTGTTGATTTATGTCATTACAATTAATATGAAGAACTTTTACTATATATTTCAATCATATTGAAATAGTGAAAAGGAAGTTGACCAATCCATATAGTTCATAAGTTCATAGAGACTCAACTAATGGAACCACTGTCCAGTAAAAATTGTTTAATAGTGAACGTAATCACCCCTTACAGATGTAATATTTTTTTGCGATTAACAAATTTTTAATTTGTTTTAATTAGGAATGTATTGTTGTGGTAATGAGGAAAAAATAAGGAGCTAAATGTGTTTAGTAAGTTGTTACAAAGTGTATAGTTGGCACAATATTATTTGCACTGATTTGTTTTACCATTTAATCTTTATGCTCTGGCCACACAGAGGCAGCCGCAGAAACTGAAGTCACACTGAAGTGCAGTAGACGCGCGGCTGCCGCGCGTTTCAGTGAGTCAGGGTTCATATGAGCTCGTACATTACAAACATTCCCGCACCTGGAGGGTTTTCATGGCCACCTTTGTGTGGCCTGAGCATTAGAATACAATAGACAGAAGAGTGCCCGTCTCGGTAACACAAGTGTCATCTGTATAGTGCAAAGAACTAGTTTTAAATAGTTTTATGCATTAGCACTTAATTCTAAACTTGATAATCTTTATGCGGAACTAACTTTGTTGAATTAATAGAAAACAGTCTGCAGTGAGTATTTCACGAAATACCTACTGTTCCAAAAGAAAAAGTTAAAGTATCAATAATTATTAAATTTTTCATTGAAAATCTATTTCTGCTAATTAAGGACATCTTATGTACTGTTTGTCTTATAAGCTTTTTTCTAACATATGCTTTAGAGCATGTCACCTTTAGAGATAGAAGGTTGAGAGCCTGTTACTCTATAATCCTAGTATGGAGAGTAACATGTGGGAACCATAGCAATATATAAGTACAAGTTTCTTTTGTGAAAAACAATAAAGAGATTTTCATAGCTTTTCATTGTCATAGAAGAGATTCAGACAGGTTAAAGGTAGGATAAAGCCAATTTGTGAAAGCCTACTGTACCAAAGGGGTAGTCAATAACAATCTATGCAGATCTAAATACTGCCCATGTTCCTTCACATACAAGCTGGTAATGAGTGGTACAAAGTGAGTGTGTTTATGCAGGTATACCTCTCTGGTAGATCATACCATGTTTGGACAGTCATTGTTATCAATGGCTAGTTGTAGCCACATCAAGACATACTATAAACCTAAATAAACATTAAGTAAGGAAAAAACAAGTCGTAACGATTTACGTAGGCAAGAAAAGGATCATGCTATTTGTGGATAAATATACTCAATTTAAGAGTTCATTCACCTACAACAACGTTGTCTAAAGAGAAATGAAACTTATATACAATTTCCAACTACAAATGCAATAGTCCTGTTCGCTCTCGCTACACGATAAAAAGTGCTGGAAACATCACCGACGTTCGCGTAACAATAGATTTAATGTAAGGTCCTTTTGTTTTCTCTACTGACGGAAGAAGGTCACGGAAGAACGGAGAATAACACTCGAATCGCGCAATAAAGTAGGCACTTAACAACAAAATAGCTTCTAGACACATAAATTCTATAAAAATACTACGCATTTTACGAAAAACATGTGGAATATGTCTCTAAAAAAAGCTCACGTTGCGCCGAGCCCTTCAGTCAACTACAATTTTGTCGGTCATTGTTCTAACATAAATGGATATAATGTTACTTACCAATTATGTACTTAATGAATTCAACTCCTATTTAGTTCACACAAATACTTAATTGAACTCATATTCAAAGGGGAAAACAAACAATTAATTCACAAACAAGCACCCAACAGTCGCCAACAACAAGGCAGCCATTTTTATTAAAATGGCGTTTTCATTGTTGCCACAAGAAAAAAGAAATACATGTTATTAAAAATTCCATGCTTCGTTTACATAAAACTGTCATGACAATATCTTTGATAGTGGAGCAAGGGTAAATGTTATTTCCTTAATGCGCAACACATAGTAGGTATATTATATGGTGTTTATATGCTACATAATACAAATATATTACTATTGACACAAATTAACCAACCAACATTATAATCTACTTTCACACAATGACTCATAACATTAAGTTAGATCATGAAAAAAAAATTTCGATTTTGATAAAATCTTAATACTGTCGGAAATACAAATACTTTTCCTATATATTCCTGTATTTTTCCATATTTGATAGTTGACACCTGTCAAATGTTGAAGATTGAACGAAAACTTTTTTTTCCTTTCTCTAAGAATGAAAACGATGGAGCCATTACAAAGATTTTTTACCTATGATTATCTTCTTTTGCTGTGGTTCAATCATTTCGAATCTTGTTTTTTTCTAACATGCTTTTAGCTATACAATTTTATTTACAATTCACGCTATATAAAACGTCAAGATATTTCTAAACGAAGAACACAATATGAGACTTCATTTTTCTGATTGTTCAGAAACTTTTCCGGAAATATTTCCACAATTTGAAATTTTTCGGATAATTATCCAACAGTTCAATGCATAACATGCAAACACTCCATAATGTTCCTTAACTTCTCAATTTGCAATAACAAAACGCACATACGGATGCGTTCACTTTTTCTGAAATTCGTTAGTTTTGCGCATGTCCTATTGGTTGATTTTGCGTGACGTATTCTATCAGCGCTTCTGAAAACGCTGTTGAACTCTTTTATATATAACTATCTCTTTTCATGTGGTACTAAAAGAAAGGGATTGATAGGGGGTCGGTGATGTTTTCGTGTCAGCCTTGTGCCCATTTACGAGGTTTAGGTAAAATCCGCCATCTTGAGAGTGAATTCAAGAATGTGAGGACTTTTAGCGGAGTTAAGTGGATTCTTTAGTAATTTTATTATTAAATGAATAGTGATTTGTGTACGTTGCGATTACTAGTATAATCCGGGAGCCGACTGCATTAAAAGATCAGTGTTGCGCGTCGGCGAGGACCTTAAACGCCAAATTCCTTGGTAGTGTTTATGTGACAGAAGACACCGTAAGCTTTCTAATAGTTTTTTGCGTGTCTATTTCCGTTTTCCATCTCGACGATCGTTAGCATACACGTGAAAGTGAAAAAGGTATCAATATCGTGTCGGTAGCTGTCGTAATAGGGTGTTGGGATGTATGTTTCTGTTGGAAAATGCGGTTAGATGGGCGTTGGTGGTGATCAGTCGGTTTTGTCAGGAGTTGAGGGTTAATCAGTGGCTGGGTTGTGCCGGCGGGGTGTGCACGGCGCCGAGGCAGAGGATGCGAGCGGTTAGGGCGGGCTAGCGAGGTGTTTAAGTGCTAAACGATACTGTGAACATGTCGACCACTATGCGGCCTACTCTACAGACTGTGCCGGAGTCTTTACCGGCGGATCATGTGACGGCCCCTACGCGGGCGCCGGCGGCCGCAACCAAGGAGAGACCAGCACTATCGGTAAGTCCCTATTATTTACCAATCAACTCTTGGAGTGCATAAAAGCACCTTCAGAATTTGAGAACATCTAAACTTTGAATTAAGATTTAGGAACCCAGTATTCACTCAAGAGTTGATGACAACAGTTTCTTATCAACTTGTTGGCAATGATTACAACATACTCCTATTAGCTCCTATTGTTTAGTAGTTTGGAGTGATGTAATTTTACCACACATGCAAAACACTGTGTGACATATTGTTTTTGCTACTTTTGTTATGTTAAATCATTGCTAAAGAGTTTTATGATAATGTTTTCCCAGTCCACAAAGTTTATGATTATTATTTGTTACATGACAAGATGTAAACATGGTATTATTAAAAAAGTTTTAGTTCTTGAAAAACACCAAACTAATACAGTACACCTTTTTCCAAACTAATCTAAATACAGTTTTTTCACTTGTAGTTAGCAAGCAATATTCATCTACAACTATGTCCTTTTTAAGTCAAAATGTAAACATGTTTTGTTATGTATAGGTTTTTATTTATTTACATTTAGAAATGTTACATAAATACCACAAATTATTAGTAAATATTTCTACACTTTGTCAGATTTAAACTGACCACTTTCAAGGAAATCAATTAAATGCAGTTATACCACACATAGAGAGCATAGTTTGGCTAGAAAGTTGTGTTCACCTCAGCATAACAGCGAAATAATAAAAATTACAACCCTGCCTCTATAATAATGCTGTAGGCTCTACTTTTATATACCTATTTACTTATTGTTATCTTACTTGTTGATTATGATTCTTTTGTTTATTTTTATCAAAGCCAGTGTCATTCAATGTTCCATGTTACATAATGACTTTATTGATGTCTGCCTTAATAAACACAGCATTTAATACACAAAAATAAAATCTTCCAAAATAAATTTTTCAGTGCAGTGAAAAATACTGTGAAAATAATACTTAATTTGTTTTATATACTTGACAACAAATTATGTTTAACAATAAAAAAAAAAATCTTATGTACATACTAGCACAAATGTCTTCAACTTTGATAGGCAGAGGCTATGGACCACCTTGGTTGAAATAGATGTTTGGGTCATTCCAGCGAAAATGACACCGCAGTTCAAAAAAATAAATTACACAATTTGGTTTTAATTATATGACTAGAATACGCCCAATAAATCAAATATAAATAAAATAAGAAATAAATGAATTTTTTTGGATATTGTACAATTATTGTATTTTTTGTCTTCAACGCAGCCATAGTGCTGTTGTTTAAACTGAAGCATTTTTTCCTATAATGTTAGTATGTAATTTTCATGGTTATTTGTGAGTCTCTCTAAAAAATTATTACAGTTGAAGAAAATACATTTTACAAATTTTAAAATAAAGATAAGTGATTGCATGGAAGTATATATGTTAGGAGTTATTAAAGTTTCAATAAATACTAATTTCAATTCCCACCCATCACAATGAAACATATATATTTTTATTTTAACCAATAAATATGCAATCTATTGGCATTCGCTTTTATAAAAGTTAAAATTATGCTTAGGGTCATTATTTTGGCTAGGTTGGGCATTGTGCACGTAAATAGAAATGTAAATATTAAGATTTGAAAATGTGTCCCACCTGTCACAGCGATGGGTGGGACACACTTCTAAACATTTTTACTATGAATAAATGTTTGTATTTTCATGGATTCGAGTTTTCACGATGTTTACTAGGTGTAACAGTTGCTTTAATTTCGGAGTTTAACATGTGATGTGTTAAATTGTGACGATATAAAAATGTTCAGTATAAGTAAAGTATCACTTTGGAATGGCCCGTTTACATTTTTACTATTGAACCAAAAATAGTTTAATTCACATCTGGGCTCATTTACTTATGAATCAGAGTTTATTACACTTAAATAACTGTATTACTGACAAATACATTATATACCTACATAGATGTCACAAAAAGACACTTTTTTCGAACTCACTGTATGCATAAATAATTAACATGTGCACAATGCTATTGACTCATAATGCCTTTGGTGGCAAATTATATTGTTTTACCAAAATATAAATTTACATAAATCAACCACATGTGTTATTGACGTTAATAATATAATATGACTGACCTGAGAATTGTTTTCAATAACAATTTCAACAATTTGAATAATGTTAATCCTATTGAGGTTTTAGGTTTTCACAAATGCTATGCCCATTGGAAATGTAATAATTTTTTCAGAATTAAATTGTATATTATTAATTTCTTTTACAAACAAACCAAAGTTTTGTTCACCTTATAGGCTCCATAGCATATTATTTCCAATATTTATTTTAATATGTTATTTTGCAATTTTTTTTTCGGTAGCCAAAATAATTGAATATTACACATATATTTTAATAAAAGGAAAAATATTAAAGGTTCCTTGAAAAACAAAATTGTATATTATAGAGTTTAAATTTATAACATGCTACTTTTCAAAATTGTAATGTACAAAATTGTTGCCCTTGGTTACATTTAGGTTATGAACAATTTTTTCAACATTTTTCTTATCATGAACCATGTTGCATGTCTAAATTATCAATGGCACCTAAATAGTAACAGTTATCAATAAAAATGACACATAACGCTCACAGATTATCACAAAAACGTATGGTCATTTGCATTCAAATTTCCCCCAACACTACCTACTTTTTGGCATGATTCATATGTATTTGTATTACCTACTTGTTGTACAGAATTTGTATTATCTTTCACAGATGTTGTAGGTCAAATGTGTTTAACGCAATAATAATAATAAATATATTTTTTGAAATAAGGTAGTAAATATGTTTATCTTAAACAAAATGTATATGATAGATTATGTGTACTGTTGAAGCCTTGGTTTTGGCTGAAACTAAGCTAACTGTGACTGGGACAACATTATCTTTTGTATGAAATATGAATCCACAGGGCAAGCTATCTTATGGCAGGTTTTTTTACAGTGTAATTCCTGTAAAGATACTCTGGGCTGTTTATAAAATTGGGTCCCTCGTGACAGGGTGGCCAAAATACTGGTAGCATTGCCCCTTTGTACGGCTGTGCTACTAGTTGGGCACAGTAGCTGCCTGGTCTCCCACTCGGTCTATAACATCTTCAACTTCTATCTCTCCTCTATATTTATGACTATATACTAATTAATGACAGATCGAGTACGATTCTGTGAATTTGCACACTGATTTTATAAAATTTCTCAAGTCCTATTGCGCAGATATTCAATACCCGCCTTAAGGTACCTTTCCCTGCATATTGAAAGATTTTATTGAAAGTTTCGTATTGGTTTTGCTTTTATAGCATTGGTGAATTATTGTTGCATTTTGTGATGTCCATATTTCGGGATCTATCGTCTGAATGTCTTTGCAATGT